AAAACAGCTGGTAGGTTAGCAGTGGACAGCAGGAAATTTAACCAATACAATCACTTTCTATTTTGCACCGTTAAGATCAAGCGCAGTTATTATTCTTTCTAGCTACCATTATAAACTTCTATGTGCTTTTCTGCTGATTTAAAATTAGATCTGATATTTCAAGTCGTCTGTACTACTTCAGCCATTGTCAATGACACTTTACTGACGCGATTGGACAAGAATTCGTCAGTGTGGTTTACTTCTTTCTTTAAACGAGAGAGACAAGGTACCCAGTCCATGATTAAGAGCTATTTACGATCTACCCTTGCCACGTTCAATGTAAACCTGGTGGGCCGAAGTCATTTGTGATATATACGGATCATGCTTCATTACACGACGTAGTCGACGCATCTTTCTAAATAGAACAATACGAAATTTCGTTTTTCGGTTTTTGTTTGAAGTAAGTTACATGCCTGGTCGACTCTATATCGAGACAAACGTGCCTCCGCGTCATCTGAATTATCTGATTTGTCACTACACAAAGATGACGTCAGCATCGCTAATCTCACCCAAACGAAGCATGCATCAGACATCATTACTGAATTGTATCGTGGTGCAAGGCTATTTAAGCTCAGATATCTTTTGCAAGCGCATTCACACACAATGTGCGAATTGTACCACAATACGGGACTCCAATATATTTATGAGTACAGGTTACTCTTTTAGAACGACATCTAGGCAGCAGCAAGACGTATGCTCATTGAGCGCTATGCATAGATGACACAAGATGTACTGAAAATCAACTTGTGTGGATAGTTATAAAGCGTCAATGCATGCTTCGGCACCTTAAGCAAGTCTATTGGTCTCAACAGAGTCATCGGCATGAATTTAGTTTCAGCGTTTCAGAGGCGCTTATAGAAATACTGGTATTGTGGCCTTTGTAGATTACTGGGCAGAATAGTTCACCTCGCTGCAGCCAGCGGCCCGCTTACCCATGCGTGAAAATTCGATCAAGCTTTTTACAGACAACGTTCTTCGAATTTACAAAATACTGGTGCTGATAAGGACAACGGCAGACCGCAAAGGGAAGGTCATTTTGAGACAAAGGCTGCTAGCCTCACGTCACACATAACGTATAGATTCATTGCTAAACCTGATAATCAGATAGACTAGCATTCACTGTATTCACATTATATGTTGTTTTCAAAAGAAGGTCTAATAAGTATTCAGTGCAATAAGATTAAAGTACACTATGCAATAAGGGATCTGTGTACTATAGGGTTTGTGTATGTAACGCACCAAGATTTGGGTTGTTTGCTACACTCGGAAGCTAAAAATCGATAGCCTTAAATGTGATTGATCACTCAGTATGCTTTCTTTGTCAAGAGTGGCAAAGATTTAGAATTAATCCTGTTTAATGTTGTATCAAGTATAAACGTTGAAGATAATTAGTTATGGAACAATCTCTATTGCTTGATGTGAGGCTAACAGCACATATATTTTCCACAACGAAATCCCATCATCTTCATAGGAGCAGAATTTTGTGCCTCTGAATTTCATTTGATTGTTGTAGGTGAAACAATAGTATAGAACGTACGTTTTTGCACATATGTGAGCTAGACTTGGTTTCACTTTTTTGGTATTGCACAATAGTGATTTCTCTGTGAGGGACCACTGCGCTTGGAGTTTGACTCCACTCCTCACAATTCACAGTTTTTGTTGCCGTAAAATATTTGAAACTAAATTCCTCTCCCGTACACATCATCACATAGCTAAGTGAACCTACAAGAAAGGCTCCTTCCTTGACACGAAAACATTAAGCTTTTCGGCATAGCTTCGCTGGATCCTGACTTGAGAATCCTTCCAAGTTGGAGACTTGCTATCGAGCGGTCCCGAGGATCAACTGGTTGCTTCATTCCGCTGCTCTTCTGCACGAGCACGACTTTCATACACAGCGGGTAGTGTTTGATACTCCAACGCACAGCTTGCGACAACGTTTAGTTTGTCACCCGTGAGCTGCACCTAACTCGGTTTGCATTGCTTTTCTCGAATCGATACTCGCTCTTTTCTCCAAGCTCTGACAAACTTTGATTTAAGTATTTACCACCAGAATGCGCACATTTATAGCGTCCAATGCGCAAACCGATAACCTCATGAAGTGCCGTAGCCGCGCAGTGGCGGATATCCCAGACGCATTTACCAGATGCTGGAGCAGCCTACTTTCATCGATTAGATATGCGCTGATTAATGCCGAACACTACTTTTCCCAGCCTAGAATATTCTCAACATGTAAATTAAATCATGTTCGTATCCATTTAACATCTCGACGGATTTGTTTTGGTCTTGTTAGGATCTGGTTAGCCAGCTGATGTCAGCCTAGATTCCTTTTATAAGTAGAATCCGGATGTTATTTCGAAGCGTTTGAGCCTCATGCGTTAAGTGTACGACTTCTTAGATGAAACCTTGAATATGCTTAAGCAGCACTGAGAAAGCAGCGCCAAAAGAGTTTTTTTACAGACATTTTTTTCTATCAAACGGTATGATCTGCCTAGAAAGTAGTGTCTACAGTCATCAAGACAGTTCTAATGCCCGTTTAAATTGGGGTGGTTTATACTCTTAACCGTTCTGTGGGGATGAGAAACATCCAACTTATTCAAACATTATTGCAATCTTTTGAGCCACCCGATACGGACTTTACTACCATAGACAAAGAACCCTCACGCAAGACAGTAACTGTTTTACCGTCTGCTATAGGTATACATTTGAATCTAAACCGCTGATTATGTCCAAATTCTTTGTGTGATCTCGCCAGTGTCTATAATACAAATCATGATCGCATCGAGCGCACATTGGGCCTCGCGAAGAGATTTGACACGCCGCCATAATCTCAAATCCCATAGGATCTAGTCACGTGAGATTTACTAGGCCGACTCTACTCACTGAACAAGATGAGTTGAACATCCTAGTAAAAGGATTCTAAGTCTGCACGTCCTACACGGGCATTTTTATTGCCTAGTATACAGAATAGATATTCTTACAACGTTAGCTTTCGAGATTTGAGATTCTACGCCTACAAGATCAGCCTGCGGTCGGTGTCTCTTGCTACCGCTACCTAATTTCTACTAAAGCATACGAGTGACGGTTGAAAAGACCGTCCGTAGCAGACCCGTTATAGGAATTGACGTCGGTGCCTGAATGATGGGTAAACTTCAAATATTTAATTATCCATGTTCTGCTACTTGCCGTTAGTTAGAAAATTGGCGCCAAGTGGAATTTTCTCATCAATTTGCTTTAGTGCGTTGCTCAAAATAGCCTATAACGTCAAATTGGCAATTGGTTGGAGCCATATTGTAGTGTGACAAAATACTTGGTCCGTGGATCCAGGCCAATTTCAGTATGTACTTCTTGATACAAGGGCAAGGTAGGTATGTCGTGACCACACCGTGATATTACTTAGTCAACGGGTTAGAGCACTCCGCTGGATCCTTAAGAAAGTTGTTCCACTCCTCGCGCTAAGCCACCGTGATAATTCTCAATGATGAACACATCTAAGACAGATAATAGGCACAGTTCGCCTCGGTACTAATCGTGGTCATTTCGTTGTCTTGCAGTTTTTAAAGATAATTCTTCAAGATCAACAAGAGCTGCCGCCAAATGTAGTGAGGGAGGAATAACGCCCAATCAGACTTCCTCTGTGAATACATTCAAGATCCAGAACCCTATTTCGCCACAAACCCTGGGGCTCAAACTGCTCCGCGCGGTGGGCGCAACACATTGTAACATTGACTCAGTAGTATCGTTATATCGAGACAAAGGGAATATCGCTTAATACCTCATGCCTGAGATTTTCACTGGTGACTTACGGTCGGCCATCTTTGCCGGATCTTGTTCAGGAGATGGCGACACGAGCCGCTTTGAATCATCTCAACGTATCACATGCCGGAAACCACGACACACGGTCGCTCTTATATGTTCAACGCCTATGAAGATGGCGACATACTACCGCTAAATCTTGCCCATGGTTAGGATGCCGTATGACTTCGTACTATAGGCTACTATCACTTTTTGTGACCAATTTTAGTTGCCTTCCGAGCGTAGCTCAAGCCACCAAGCAATGTCATAGCAAATTAATTTGAGCAACCCTTGCCCCGCACAGATGCTATTGCAAAATCAAACGATTTTCGCTTTCTAACAGCCTTGGATTGATGAATCGCCAATAACGAAAGTTTGCATATCGTTCCAGGCGCGCCATATCTATCATATGATCGCATCCCAGATTGACAACTAGAGCACGATAGCATCCACGCCACTCAAACCCTCAATTTTTATAGGAAAGTCAAAAACAATTTTGGCAGTGCTCGATATACAACGCACGGATATCATATCCGTATTCGGCATCTTGGAACCTTTACTGTTCTCTACAATCATCCATCGTACATAATTGATCAATCCGTCAAGACTTTCCGCAGTATTATAAAGTTTTGGGACGGCAATTTTTATAGGTAGAATTTCCGAGCTGTGATTTGTGTATCTTTTAAACATTTTTTTGTCCATAGATCTCGCCTGCAAGATGTACAATTAATTCCGAATGTGTCCCAGGTTACCAAGATACATCTACTAAGACTTGGCTTTTTACCGCAAAGGGTCTATCAAAAATGTGTGGGAGCGACCAGACGAGATGAATATAAGCAGGGCAACATAAGTTTGATATTGCCGCAGATGTAGCATCTGCGAGTACTGGGAAGGTGCTCGGCAGCGAAGTGGTCACGATCTATTGGTTAGATTTCAAGGGGTTCATAACACCTGCAGCACTCGTAGACCACCCGTCATGCCTGAACCGGCCCCTGATTACCGAAATTGTGCTGCGCATTTGATGAGACGCGCTCCGCTTCCGTTAAACGTAGATAATCGTCCGGCGACTTTCCATAAAGATAATAAATATGATTGCTTACGAGCGAGGACCCTTCGCCATCGCGAAAAAAACAGCCCTTGATTCACGACACAGTTCGCTGGGTCTCGCCCCTCGAAACGGGTGGACAGTTTTATATTTGGTTTGACGAGATAATCGTGGTATGGTACACCTGCGACATTTGTCACTTCAGCACCTACCAGGTGTAGGATATCTCTACCGCTGAAATTCTGCTCGTGTGGCCTCCTTGCTAGGATGTGCTGGACCAAATTGCTGATGCTCTGTCTAAAGCGTGACCGAAGTGATTTCATTTCAACTTTCAAGATGCTTGACCCCTTAACATTAGCGGTCTCACGGTTGGTACCATCTCCGCAATTATTCACACGTAGATGACGCGTTCCTATAGGTCTAGCTCATTTAGCGATGAGCACCTCCATGCGATGCGATTCCTGTTGCCGGCCCTTGAATTTGTCCCGGGGACATACATCGCAGGGCGTATAGTCGATGGTATCGTATTAACTCCATTTGCACTGTGCACCTTGCACAGAGAAAGCACGGGTCTGCTCTTAAAGTAGGAGTTCGTAGGGACTACATATAGTTGAAACAAGTCATAAATTCTCTGCTTTAAATTAATCTCAAGAGTGACATTTATATAAAACAAAGTTAGTTTTAAGTAATAGAAACGGACACTTTTACGCCATTAGGAGATATAAACTTTCATTACAACGGGTCAACAAGAGGCTTTCGTTATTGCACCATAAAGGTGTCAGATTGAAATGATTGGTGATCTATTGGACTCGTCTGGAATCAAAAGCTCAATCAGGTTTAGCGCTCCGTCCTTCAAATTATATCCTATCATAACCCTCTCAAAGAGTACAATAAACAACCAGCTTGGAGAAACTTAGTATGTACAACACTTATTTTGAATAGAGGTAGTATGCTTACTACCTCTAATCCCTAACACCTTCGCGATAAACTTGACTTGTATCCACAACCTCTGTTTAACGAAGAAATTTGAATTATTACCTTTATCAGTATTTTAGTATTGCTCTTCTGAGAAGACAGGTACCATGTAGGCGTACACCATAATGTGGTACGCACCCTGTCACGACACAAATATCCAAATTTTATTCTTGAAGAGAAACACACCACACCATATTGCCTGTACATTTCAGAACACAAGTCTCAAAACGACCTAAACTTTGGGGACATTATATATAGGCTGGACCATGTCGATACCTGGTGCAACAAACTACTTCAAATTCTAACGATTGAATTATCTACACTCTACTTACGCTTAAAGTGACTATAAGTGTTATGAAGCATGAGAAAATGAATACTTTAAATGAATGAAAGACGATATCACCAGGGATTGCTTTACGTTCTATCAGCAAGACAACTGTGCATTGAATGTATGTCGTCGCTGTGATACTAATATATTTAACACGGAATATAGCGCTGAAATCCACAACTTTAGAAATTGCGCTGTAACTTCAGAATATGACAATTTTTTCGGGCATCAAAGCTAGTCGAGCAAATAACACAAGAGAGACCCTTCAGTTAGACATCATGTATGAGAAAGCACTATCATATTGATTGAAGAGTTCAGTGATGATATCTTACTCCTACTGCAGCGGCGTTCACACTGCTGCCCCAGCAACTTCCGATGCCTTTTCCGCAGTAGCTTCTGGGGTGACAGGCATGTAATTCGTTAATTCAAGATATTCGAGAAAAGTTTTAGCTTGGGAATCTTGTTCCACTCCTCCAAAGTGTAAGTCTTCGTTTCATCCAATATATCTAAATCTAGCAGAGCTTTCTTGTACAGGATTGGACGCACATCGAAAGACATCATTTCCTTGACTTCAGCGCCTTTATTCATTTGCAGTCCGTAGCTAGTTATTCAAATCGCTTCGAGAGTATGGCGAGTCACAATTCTTGTCTAAATTTCATTCAACGAGGCAGGTGTATCGGTATTTCCTGTGATCCCCAACAGGTCGCGGTACCGATCAGAGAACTCAGCGACAACTGACGATGTCGGCAGATCACCCATGCCCTGTATCGTTTTATACTCAATCATGATATTCACAAAGTTTGGGGTAAAACTTTGAACGATCGCTTTATCATATCCATTCATTCCATGACATTAAATTTCTTTACCGTCTCAAAGTTTACGTGGGCTACCCACCCATAAAGTAAGGACCATGATGCCTTAAAGGACAGATATAAGAATCCCTTCTTGTCATCTTTGGCATCAGGTGGCTTGATGATTCCCTTCCCAATTTTTGCGCAATGATTTCAGTCTCGAGTACACTACATTCTTTTTCCGTATTGCGCTCGTCGTCATTGGTTACGACCATTTGAATTTCATTGTTGTGCTCTACGACAAGTACCGTGTCAGAATCAATTTCTTCGTGCTAAAGGGTCAATTGAGCGTCAGAGATAGCAGACTCATGAGAGTTGGGAGGAGGACGAGCACAATGCGCATTGTGGTTGCTCGACAGCCGCTTGTCAATTTAAAATATATTACTCTCAACGCCACTCCAAACGTATGTGACCATATCAGTTTGCTTTTTGGCTAAGAATATCAGTGTAGCATCTTTTTATCACCAGACCGATTGGTCACTTTATCTACAAGAATCGTATCTCGTAAGAACCAGAAAACCTAAACTTCTTATCCGAGATTACAATTTGGCTTTGGCAGGACCACATGTGGAGAAACTCAATCATTATGGACTGGTGGTTGTTCATAAGACAGGTTCTCGAAATCGCATTTTAGGGACTTCTCTTGCTCTACGCTTTGGACATAGAAAAAGCTTAAAGTTGTAACGATTTAGTCTTCATTGTTTGCCTTTTTAAAAAAGCCCAATTCTTTGCGCAGGGGCATTCACTGTGTACCACGTATCGTCCGATAAATCATTTTGATATCCTTGAACACATCAATCGATCAGATTGATTCGGAACCGAACCTCGGATTCCTCGTCAAGATAAATGCCATTTATCTTTTATTTGTCGGAGAGAAAGCATGTCAGAGGCTTGCAAGATGAATCTAAATTTTTCCATGCTTGATAAAACGATTCAACATGCAGGTAATTCTTAGTCTTTTAACAGTACACAATTAATGTATCACACAATTTGAAACAGATTAAAGATTCGAGACTTGCAGACAGCAAATACTCAGGCAGCTACATTTCTCTGATGTTCGTTTTTGCACAGCATGCGACGATTTCATTCAACACATAACGCTGTGATTTAAGTTTTTGTGCATAGAACTCGATGCCATTTTAGACGTGGACTCATTGCGTCAGTAATTCTGCTTTGGAAAGTGCATGGCAACCTCGTTGCACTTTGTAGCAGTTGTTGTCAATCCCCTCGACCAAGTTGTAAATGGACTGCATCCTTTTTAAAGATAGAACATAAAATGTTGAAGTTTAGGGACAACTAGACACGCTCAAGAATATTATTGGTAACTGATAATGTCAGTATGAACGGGATGAGAATACTGTCAGACTTACGAGCCGAAAGCGGAAATTATGCGCTTACCGGCTAAGAAATGCGCTCGTGGGACACCTCTAGGAGACGCGTACCTACAGTATCTAGGTTAATAGTGTGTTCCTAACATGATTGAAGTTGAACTGGCATATGCCGCACCGCATCCCTCAATATAGACAAATTTATTTTAATAGCAACTATTTTTGAGCTAAAGCATAAGAAAGTTCGTAAACACTGACTTCTGAACGGACGTAGTGAGTATGCTTTACCACATATATCCCTGGTTAGGCAGTGCGAGCACTTGGCTATACTAGAACCGGTTAAAGTTTTGGTGCGGTGTTTGATTCCAGACTAGACCAATTAAGTTGTCCATAATTCCATTATGACGCAGCAAAGCGCATCAATAGAAGCCTGATGCTTTGTTTTGTCCAGATTTGGCTTTCGCAAAGACGTGGAGATTCTAGCAGAAGAAGCAAAGGAGCGATATAAAACGGCAAAATACATTGTGCAAGTCCCTTTTGGCAAAAGAATAACTTTTACAATCACTGTGCTGAGGCTGTAATTCTTATAAGCACTCTTTCATCCTGCTCAAAGAAAGAAAATTGAAACGAGAATGAAGCACAGCCAAACTACACCTTGGAGAAGAAAGCAAAAATCTAAAGGCTAAAGATAAATCCGACATGTGGGGCCGAAATTTGTAAAAATTGGGAAAATGTACAATATGATTCACGTGGTTGGTATGTGTTCTTTCTTACGGAATAGGTTCCATCGTTCCGCATAGAAAACATTTCATCACACAGTCTACAGCATATCATGTTCCTCACTGAATTCGCAAGACCGCGGCGGTCAAATATCGGTCGGAAAACTTTTTCAGACGATAAAATTGGTGTATGGCAGACCATGCATCAAGCTAGTGCGTACGTGGCGAAGTAATAAAAGGTTTATTTTTGAGACTTGGTGAGCAAGCATTGTGAGGTTGGTTGCAAAGTAAAGATCACTGATCCTCGAATAAGTTCCTCTTGCAATCAAAGAGAAACGACCCGCGGGTAGCAGAGATAGATACCGTCGTCCCTTGGATCTATTTGAATAACTATTAACCTTGTATAGCAATAAAAGTTAGTTCTACCAAGCCTATTTGTATGTAGCCAGGTACTATCCCATAACTGGTAAAATAGTTGCAAATTATGAGTTACCCGAGTATGTAGCGCTGTGCCTGAATTGCTCCCTTCAGGTCTTTTTGTCACATGGACATAATTCGACGTTAGGTATTGGATTAATTAAGGGGGGGGAA